AGTTAATTACGAGTTGATGTAAGTACGATTCGCTTAACAGGGAAGCTAGCTAGCTTTGACCTTCACTGATCACACGCCGATTTTTCCACCGGTGACGTTAGGTAATGTTTTCGTAAAAATACTAATGTCCGATGAGAATCCACTGAAGTTGAATAATTTGTAATATTCGAACTTTGTAAAGGTTCCTGGTCAAATATCTGAAGTTTTCCTATTGGTAAGCGTTATAACAATCACAGTGTAGCTTCTGAAGTTTTATAGCACACTGATTATAGCGAAATAATAATAGATACTCCCTCTGGCGCGTCGAGTTAGCTATATTCATAGGCGTGGGAACGTTTTCTAGGAAATTCAGTCTTACGTAACAATACTGGTTAAAGCGTTTACGTGTGTAGATATATTGTTGATTCGTACTCTCGAGAATCTTCTACAACTTTGGAGAATAGGTGGGAGTTTCGTAATACCTATACAACAGTATAAGCTATGTACGCTTCTAAATATAACCTTAATCTAAACAACGTTCATATTAAAATAAATACATAACAATACATTCGCTACAGAATGCAAGATGATGTTCATTTAAACACGAAGATGTTTTTTCAATTGTACACTTTTGACATTGCATTTGCATAACCTCTATAATCTCCAAAATTAATATCCAAAATTTTTCAATGTCCCTGTATATTGTATCTGATGCTTTTTGTCCTTTACCATGAATTGTCTCTAAAGCAGCAATGTAGGGGAAAATGAATAGTATATAACTTTGACATCAAATACTTAATACCATGTTGGAGATCATGGTATGGACATTTTGACTTCCACCCGTTCACTTAAGGTTAAATGGGCAGCAAGATGCATGACATGTTGTTTGCTATTTCACCTATTCACTCTTGAAATGGTTTCGAACTGAGCCTGGTATGACTCCCATGGCACCTTCTCATCATAGTCTGTTGGTTTCTTGATTGGTCAGTGTTGAACTGGCTAGCATAATCTGGAACTGGATTTGGTAGTATCATGGCTGAAGTAGTGCAGGAAGACCCTCAGTAACAGGTAGCACAGCAGTAATGGTAATAGGTATAGACTAAATAAGTTCTCCTAGTCCATATTTGTATCAGATGGCATTCCGTAACAGAACTCCTGAGCTGATGCAGAAAGAGGTGTGGCTGGTTTAATTTTTGCATTTAACAATTTATTTTCCAGGTGATTTATTCCATCAGTGATGTTCTTTTATATATCAATGATGGCATAACTAACTCGTCAATTTTGTAATTACAGTCTTGCTGTACTTCTTCAATTTTCTCATTACAGCCTCTCTGCCCTTCTTTGTTCTTTCTTCATTTCTTCAAACTTGATGCTGTAATCCCCCTATATGTCCACTACAGCTTTATCAATCTTGTCTTCAATAAAAGTGATTTTTATTTTCAATTCTTTTTTAAATAGTAAATATCTTCATTCTAATTTATTATTTCTTCTTCATCTTATTTTAGTTTTCTATAAATTTCCTCTTGATCTTTTTTTAATCTTCTATCATTCCTCCTGATTTAGTTTCATCCTCTCAAGTAACCCTTAAATCCCACTATTTAACCTCGTAGTCGACATCTTCAACAGTTGAGATTCTATTTCATATGTATTCCAAATTCTATTTTCACCAAGCAATTTCCATTCCTGAAACCCAGTGTTGTAACATAGCTCTTTAAAATTATCAGGGTGAAATAATTCAACGTTCTTTTTTTTCCTTTTTTTTTCTTTTTTTTTTTTGCATTTTTACACGCTTAAACCATTTCTAAAGTTGACGTACTTTGTTAGGCCTACAGTTACAAATATCGTTATATCTCGCCAAGATAGTATTAGGGTTAATATACAATCAGTCCACTTATACAAAGTCTCGTAATAATTCTTATCTTTACTTTTCTTTGTATCTCAACCCTTTTAACTATCTCGTATATAAATATAATCAATTTTCAAATATGTTAGAATACTTTACGTCACATTATTTTTAGCCAATGGTTGCGGATTATAATACTTTTTTGCATATTTTCTCACGTAACAGTTAAATAATTAGGTCACAAATTTTGGATTAACTGGACATTTTACAGTTGCCAATATAAGGAAAAAGTGAGGTAAATACGTGATCAGTAATTTCCGTTTTCAAAAGAAGGATTGACGTGCTTTCTACTTGACTTGATAACTGATTGTAAGAGCGTTGTTGATAGCGTAATACTTTAAAAAAAAATGAAGAACGAAATGTTTTGTTGTATTCCAAAAAATGTCATAAACATAAGTACGAAAAGAAATCAAAAATTAAACATCAACTATTATTCGACATGTGCTGTAAATAAAACAACTAAAAACGACATACCTGCTGAAAAACAAAATAAAGAAAAGCTTAATCTGATTCAAAGGAATGAAATAAATTCACTAAAAGATAAGAAATAGAGGAAAACTTTAAAAGCATAGTATTAAAATGAAAATCGCAGGTGTTATAGGGTGAAGTTACAACTGTATGAGTACAAATCTTTGATATGAATGTCTTGCGTGAGAAAAGGGTGTTACAAACTCTTCCCTAAAGCAATCAATTTTTAGAGTATCACTCTACCTACGTAATTCCAAACAATGTCAAAATGTAGTTCCCACACTTGCCATTTCACTTCGACTTAACATCGGCCATAGTTGTCACACGACTTGCTTATTTGCTTATTCAAATTCATTTTATTGTAATATACTCAAACCTCTGTACAGCATGAAAACCCAGCTATGGGCAAAATGTGTAAATTAGTTTTTGTATGCAAAATGTTGGTTAAGGATGTGTCAACACAGGAGAACTTGTTTAAAAATCGTTCTCTTTAACTAAAAATTCTGGATCCCGTCCTTGATATCTCTTACACTGTTAGAGAACAGTATATTGTAATTGTCCTTGTTGTTCTATATTTATGACACGCTTTACAGCCGATGGATGGTGCGAGTTAAACTTAGCGTATTGTTCGTTTGTTTTTGTTCTTTGTTAAGCACAAAATTACACAGTAAGCTATCTGTGTTCTGCCCACCGCAGATTTCTAAACCCGATTTTTAGTATTAGATTTGAAGTAGAAAAATAAGACTTACACGTGGGTTTTGTATGCACTTTTGTAATAAGTGTTTTCAATAACAAACAAGATATATTGGAAAGGTGTGGCATTGTGAATATTGTCAGCATATCTGCATAGGCGAGAATGAGTCTAATGTGAGGGTGTAAATCATTTAATAATTTTACGACTTTGTAATAAAGCTGGAGTTTCGTGATTCCACAGTGCCTTGCAAAAGTCTTCACACACACCCCCGTGCTGATAATAGATTTTTTGTGTATTATATCACTAAAATGAGCAACAATGCACCTTTTGTTCTTTGTAATAATTAGAAACTGGTCTGAGATTAATATAATAAATATTTTTGGCCATTTGAGTTATGTCTTTCACAAAAAAATAACTAAAATTGGTTACCAGCACAGGGGGTGAAGACTTCTGCAGAGCACTGTATATTTTAAAAATTCCATAAGTATATGTAACTGTTCATAAAATTTATCGAAGCAAAACATTTACGTATACTTCCACAGACCGTGGAAACGCCTCATTATTGTCAAATTACGAAACCTGTTGGGGGGGGGGGACAAAAGTGGGTGTCTGTAGATCCTAAATCTCTTGTGCTTTTTGTATTCCCTGAAGTCATTTGCCTATTTTTTTGTTATTTTGAATTTAATATTCATCATCGTAAGTTGACAGGATTATAAATCATGTTTTTATGGTTTCTAATTTGCATTTATATCGGAAATAACTGTAATGTTTGTGCTTAGTATGAATAAATAGTTTATATGATAATAATAGTTGTTTTTTTTTAATTCCTGGTGACCAGTGGTTAGGGTGATCAACTCTCATACGTCGGGTCGCGGGATCGAAGCCCAGTGCCAAATAAGCTCGCCATTTCTGCCGTGGAGGTGTTATAATGTGACGGTAAAGAGTAGCCTGAGAGTTGTCGGTGGGTGCTGTGCACCGGTTGCCTTCTCTTTGCTTGGCAACTCCAAATTAGGGACGGCCACACATAACCATAATAGCTTTACCCAGAGCTGTAAACAGGGGGGTTTGAGGGATAAAACCCTGGAATTTCTTCCGTCCCGACTATAAAAAAGAGAGGGGGGGGGAGAGAAAAGACAGTTTTGTGTGTGTTTCTTTTCCTTAAAGCATGTCGTATGAATGTATGTGGAAAATGTACATTTATAAACTGTATTTATTTTTTATTGTATTTTTGTAACGGGACTTCCATCGAAATCGTTCGAAAATCAGAGATTATTTTTCCAGAAAGAGAAAAACAAACAAAATGTTAAACGTTGTGGCAATGTTTTTTTTATTTGATTTTGATTTTTTTTTCAGAGGGGAAGCATTTTTCTAAGCATATCCCCTCTTCCTGAACCGAAATCTTAGCTATGCCCTGTATTTACCATAAACATACAAAAAATAATGGAGTTCTAATTTCAATGTATTTAGCAAAAATATGTTAATTTGGGTAGAGATGGAAAAAGCAATAATAGTTTGTTTTTTTACAATATATATTACATACATTCATTGATATCCAAGTAACTTTACTTCCCCTATTTTTATTCTTTGATCGGAAAGATTTATAATTACATATGCTTAACAAATAACTCTATCTATCTGATTAGCAGTTCCACGTTCACATTTAGAAGAACATTTTCAATTCCAAACTACAGCCGTAATGGTCAATTTTATTAATCGACATAAACTTTGATACTTTCTTCAGTTATTTGATAAAATTGTTTCGTCATTTGAAGCTTATGATTTTATTTCTCCATATTTTAATTAGCTGTGAAAATGGCACCACAATTGTGGCAGATTACGTAACCATCTGGCAGTCTGCAAGTGATGGTACATCAATATCTTTTATTAACGTTACCAGTGTTCTTCTCAACATTACCGTGACTGACGAATCTCCTCTCTTCAAAAAAGTGGTTTTTAGTAATATGTTTAATATTAAATTTCCCATTTAGTTGTTTACTACAATTTTTCATTCTTCTAATCGTTTTCAATAAAAGTGAAGTATACAAACCTGTATACTTAATACAGTTGCATATAATTCTTTGTATAATGCATTATGACTAATTATTAGCCTGCAACTTAGGTATTGAAACTTCTAGGTTTTAGTATACTTAAGATAACAACCGGATTTTAAAAATGCAGAAAATAATAAAGCTTTAAACACACGCGGTTCCTTTTTCAGTGTTATGGTTTTCCAGAGTTTGAAATTTTAGTAAAATAATTGCCGATTGCAATGTGTTTTATTCATTAGTTTTCTTTGAATAGGTTTATCTTAAAAACAAAGAGAGAACTTGAGTGACATTTGCGGCCATTTCTTCAACTTCTAGGATAGTGTATTTGTATTTCCAATCGTGATTTGGTTGTTGTAACCAGAATTTGGTTAAATTCGCCAACTTTTAATGATGAAGCATCCTCTTACTACTTCTACCTCTATTGATAAATTAATTTCCTCAGTATCAAACCTGAGTTAAAAATCATTGTCTTCATTAATTCTTTACCAGAAATTTCTTGTTTCATTAGATATGAGTAACTTAAACAAAACTTTTCAATATCCTCAGGGTGTATTATCTGTCATGATGCAGTATGATTAACTAATCTAATATCTTTCATCATTCAAAGTTACTATTATTTTACTTTAGTGCTCGTTAATTTATCATCAGATACTAAAACTTAAGGTTTGAACTAATACTTGTTGTGATAACACTTAAAACTACTTAGAGCTCTTGAATAATTAATTAAATACTGCGTTATCCAAAAAGAAATGAGTTATATGAAGAACTTAGTTACTATGTCAAACTTAACATCATAAAAATTAATACGAGAGATTTTATTTATAACTTGAACCAGTTAAAACTAACTACTTTTATTGTTTTTGCGAAGTACACACAAAATATCTATTATATAAACGTTTATACAATTGTTGTACATTTTTTCACTATTACGTAATAAAGTGTATGTGCAATTTAAAGTTGTTTTTTGTAAGATTCTATATACACCAAACCTAAATTACATTTATTTTCAATTTACTGATTTGAAGTTTGCACACAAATAATTTTATATATTTTAAATGTGTGACTTGCTGTTCATTATTCCACGATAAATGTCGAACGTTTCATCGGTTCTTTAGCATAACGTAAAGTTTTGGGACATCATGAGACCTATTGGTCTACCTCGGCTGTTCCATCATCTAAACTAAAACTATTAATAAATATATTTGAAAAAGATCTTGAAGCCAACCCTTATCATTTCTATACTTATCAAGCTTTCTCTTAAACCCACTTAACTTTACTGCTTCCACAACATCTGAAGTCTTCCCATTTCAAAGGCCAACCACCCTGTTTGATGTCCTAATTTTCTGTTTCACCAACTTTCTTGTTCTTCTATAATCATCCAAATCAGTGTTTGACTGTTTCTCAACCTTTTCGCCCAACGGCACACTAAATATAGCTTAAAATATTAAGGCACACCGAAAGATATAGTAATACAAACATTTATTTAGAAATTTAAATTATACATGTATTATTCATTATAATCAATGGGATATATGGGCCTGAAAATACAATTTATACAAATAGCACACATGGATCAACGAGACAACAAGAACGAGGTTGTCAGGATATTGCGCAGTAGCCTATGTGCAATAATTCAAATTTACTACACTTCCAGTTCCGGTTCTATCTGTGTAGGAAAAATTATCGAACGAATAATAAGCAATACTCTCAAATTACCAAGAAGCAACCTCAAAATCACCAGAAATCCAAAACGGATTTAGAAAATTCAGACAGACAACAGATCACTTGGTTAGATTAACAGAAACAATTTAAGATAGCTTCAATGAAAATGTATGCACTGTCGTCTGCTTTATCGATGTCGAGAACGCTTTCGATACTGTATGGCACAATGGCCTTAGGTTCCACATGACGGAAATGGAACAACCGCGGGTGATCATTCGCTGGCTATCTAACTTTTTGGAAAATAGAAATTGCAAAATAAATGTCAGGGGAACCTACTCTGAGTCATTCACCCCAGAGGCAGGCGTCCCTCAAGGAGGGGTAGTTAGCCCTATTCTATTCTTCATGTATGTGAGCAATATGCCTTTAAAAAACCCTAATTATGGATTTGCATCACAATTCGCGGTGTGGAAAAGTGTCCCCCACCCCACCCATAGCAGCAACAAATCTACAACCATTATTAAATAATATAGAAAAACATTGCCAACAACATCGAATAAAAATAAACGTTCCTAAAAACCAATTACTTACTTTCACAAGACTAACAAAACATAAAAAAGACCCACCTATATTATACATGAATTAAATACTTCTCCAGACCACAACCTCAGAGAAATGTTTAGGATTAACTTTCGACCCAAAACTAACGTGGGTAAAACATACAAATAATATATCAACAAAAAATGAAACTCGGGAAGTCTAACAGGCAAAAACCACGGAACATCACCTGACAATATTATGAAAATATACAAAACCTATATACGTCCCATCATAAGAATATGCATGAATAAACATAGCTCGCTTATTACCACAGCATATACCCGTAGCACTTCATCAAAATGTATGCACAGCTAGGCAAACCTACAAACCATATCCGATAGACTCTTGCATAATACTCTAAATTACTTTGAGAAAAATTGCCAAAAGAATGACCTACTCCGTGAACTTGATCGCTACTACATACATGATGGAGTAGACCTAAGTACCTTTCACTGGTAAACATATATTTTAGAAATAGGGGTTTAATAAGGCCACCTATTACTAGACCTTAAACCTTACACTAGTTTAGACTAAAATAAATACATTTACAAATGGGTATTTTATGTAATATATATTAGTTTGAAACAAGTGAAATGTGTTGTCCGTCTACATGGAACTGTTCGCTAAGTGTAATACCGAATTAAGTGATGTTATGCACAACACCGAATGTAAATGAAGGTACTTACAAGTGCGGATTACTCCGACCTTCATGTCTATCTACATTAACAGTCATCTCTATCAAAACCATACTTCAGAAAGGAGGAAGAGGTCTTTTGTACCTGACCCTCCCTGGTCTATTAAGACCAAAATACCGTCACGAAACTGAAGTACTAGTATTTCGACGCTGCTTTTCGACTAAAATTTCATGAAAATTGGTCTCTGTTTCGTTCTTCGTACAGTTAATATTATTATTATAACTACCAGAGATCTGAATTTTTTTCCTTATTTTTGAAAGCAATACTCTAACGAGTCTAAGCAATAAGGCCCGGCATGGCCAGGTGGTTAAAGAGCTCGACTCTCAATTTGCGGGTTCGAATCCCCATCCCACCAAGCATGCTCGCTCTTTGAGCCGTGAGGCGTTATAATATGACGGTCAATCCCACTATTCGTTGGTAAAAGAGTTGGCGGTGGGTGGTGATGACTAGCTGCCTTCCCTCTAGTCTTACACACACTGATAAATTAGGAACGGCTAGCGCAGATAGTCCTCGTGTAGCTTTGCATGAAATTCAAAACAAACAAACTAACTAACCAATAAAATAAAATTAGACAAAATTACTCTTGAAAAGTAAAAATACACGGCACGCCGGTTGGGAAATATTGTTCTAAATCTTCTGTCATACCAGTCGATTTCAATTTCTTAAATATTTCATGCTTTTCTTTAATTTTATCTCTTAAACTCTTTTTGAGCCAACCTGGTTTTTTACTTGCAGCTACCCTTTTCTCTCTATAAGGAATATGTTGATCTTGAATATTTAAAAATTTATCTTTAAAAATTTTCTACATCTGATCAGTGTCTCCAAATAACTCAGCTGCCCAATTCACAACAGATAATTCTTGTTGCATCCCTTCAAAATTTGTAACCAAAATATTATTTTCTTATCTCCATATACAGCAAAACATTGAAACTAATATAGCAATGATCACTTGCACATATATGTACCCCAATTTCCACCCTCTCGATCATTTCTATATTTGAAATTAATAATAAATATAAAATAGCATTGTTTCCTTGACTAATTGGTGAAGAAAGTCATTTTGAACAGTTTCCAAAAACCTTTCTCCCTCACGGTTTGACACTAGTATTTCCCAATCTGTATGCCTTAAATTAAAATCACTCATAATTATGACTTCATTAACAGCTGAAATCGTAATCTCATTATAAAGTATCATTTAATGGTCTGAAACAAATTCCTACCTAAAACCTTTTTCCTCTATATCCACTAATAGAAACCCAAATGTATTCAATCTCCTTACTATTATCTTTGATATCCTCAACTTCAACAGGAAGTAACTCACATTTTACCTATAAATCCACTCCTCTCGCTTTGTTTAATACCTTATCCCTATTAAACAGCCTGTAACCGTGTATTTCAAAGAAATTTCTGTTATCAAAATCATCTACGTTTAACCATGTTTCATTTATTCCCATTATATCAAAATCCTCCATTCTTACCAGTGCTCTAAAATCATCTATTTTATTTCTTGCACTTCTAGCATTACAATAGTAACAATTAAACCTATCCTTATAACTACTTCTATACTCATTTCCTATGCTAAACATTTCTCTGTCTCTTATCCTTTCTCTACATCATTAGCCTCTACATGCACCACAAAAACTGCATTTCTGTTAGCCCCGTTTATTATATCTCCTGCACTGTCAGTTATATCCTCCACATATGCCCCTGAGTATCGTTATCTAATTCTTTTCTCCCTATTTACCTCACAGACTATCTTATCCTCACGCCTTGTCAAAGAATCACCTATAACTATAACCTCCTTATCATCCACATCTTTTTTTGACCCTTTTATTTTCCTTCCCTCCAATAGTTTCTCATTTGCAGAAGCCAAGGCCTCAAATTTGTTGCTCAAAAATGTAAGTGTGCAAACAGCAAAACAATGAGGAAATTTTCTTTATAGCATACACTTTCTGCAATCTATTCAAAACTGTAAATATTTCTTTACTGTTTAGAAGCTGAAGATATATGGAGTATAATGGAATTTTTACTATGATGTTTAGTTATCGAAAGCTTAGTATTCAACTAAATAAAAATGTAATAATATTGGAATCCTTACATTAATATACATTGTGCTTGTAGTATAACTTTTTAAATAATTTAATATTGGAGTGAACATGTAATTTCATTAACCTGTAATCAATGCTGACAAAGCTTAGCTCAGTTAAATGTATGAAATTACAGTGCTTCTTTTTTTTGGAATACCTATTTAATTCATTACATGTTAATTTTCCAGAATACATTATTTACCTAGAGACTAAGAGAGTGGTAAATAGTGGAACTACTATGGCAAGGTTTTTTGATGAACTAATGTTCTCAAGTTGTTTGAATTACAATTTCAGTAAGCTTTTTAAACAATTACTTTAGGTATTGAGTATCTGTTCTTGTGCAATTTTTGACCATCTTAAATTCAGTGTTTCTAAATTTGAAATCATAAAATATTATATTTTTCTTAAGTTAACTCACCTTATATCTCCAGTAGATTATAACATTTCTTTATAGCCTCAAGGGCAAAGATGACAGTTAGCTCCAAATTTCGAGGGACAACTAAGAATCATACTTATCCACAGCCTGAAGGAATTCTAGGTGATGAGATGGTGAAATATGGCATGAATTATGGAGAAGAAAACCCATTTGGTATGCTAAGAAATCTGCTGTGTCATTGTGATTATGATTAAGCTGTTTTTTAAGTGTTTATAACATACCGTTGCTTGCAGATGCCATTGAAACAATTCAATGGTAATTTTCCTAAGAATAGTGATGAAAAAATATAAAATATGCACTCAACCCTATTCCTTGAAACAGAGCATATATGCAGTAGGCTGTTAACAACTGTATTTTGTCATTCCATGTGTTATTTCAATAAGGAAAATTATATTGCATTTGTTTTTAAATAAAGAGCGAGTTCAATGTATTGTTGGCAAAAATTGTTTTTTTTTTTTTATGCAATTGGTGAGTTCACCACAATAGACCTCTCAGGTTCATTAAGTAGACACAGAGAAATTTTCTGTTGAATGCCACCATTCCTTGTCATTTTCACATAGTGCAAGTGAGACCACTATTAAAGTGAACATTTTTTGACAGTTATCATTTCTATAAGAAGTGTCAAAGGGGAGATATTTAATTCATATCAATTTATTCGACATGGTGCAGTAAAATCATGCATGTTTATAATACCAACATTCAATTAGTCAACAAAGGTAGTCCAGTTTTTTTAATGAAATTTCCTCACCAAAAGAAACGTTTTTGTTCTTAATAAGTTGTTTTCTCAAATTGACCATTCAGCACATACAAAGACTGATAAATTTATGCTAATATTGATATGAAATTTTAGGAATTGCAAAAATAAATAATTTTCCTGTAATGTACTCTTGAAAAGAAGCATTTTGATTTTCTTTTGCTACAATTAACCATTCAGGACAGACAGACATACATTTGCTATTATATATAGAGATGATAAAGTCAGGCATTTACCATTAATAACTTGTTATGACACTATATCTTACCTCCTCTCACATAATAGTTTTCTTGTTCAAGGCAGCCCACTACAACAACAGTTGTGAATACTTCTACAACAACTGCTGTGTCTCAGGCTTCAGGTTCCACACTATCAGATGAGGATATATCAGCCTTAGTCAGAAGGGAGATTGAAACCATCATGCAGCCAGCAGCTTCTCCAGAACCCAGACAGGATATTTCTTTTTCTGGGGAGTCTGGACAGGATGACAAAGATTTAGAGAGCCTTTTTCCTTCCTATGCTGTGCAGTCCCAAGTTTCTCCTTTGGACACTCTCAGGCTGCCCTTGGCCTTCCTAGACAGTGTCACAGGTGTGTTACATTTTATATGTATCCCTGGTTTTATATGACTCTTCTTCTTTCCTCCTATACTCAGCACCTTCTCCAGAATGCCTTGTTTCCTCCATCTCCAGATATTGAGGTACATGCTGACGACTTTCAGGCACAATTGCATGTAGGGGCCAGCATGCCTTGTCCACCTCGAGCTTCAGATCAATGTGCTTTGGCATATCATCAAACAGATTTCCCATTTTTGGAGTCGTTGATTCAGGTTTGGGGTTCGGATTCTGATACTTCTGTAAGGTTCTCCCATTTCCGATTTTCCTGACTCTGTTTGACCCTAACTACCCTCCTGTGTTACCTTTCTTCTGCTCACAGAGGCTATCCATTGATCTTCTGTGGGGTTTTCGGAGGATACTTATAACCTTATTTTCTCCACATTGTAACTTTTGTCCTCCTCAGCTCTTTCCATACAAACAAGACTTCTCTGTTGTAGGGACCTTCTTGGTAGGGATGCTCTATTAACTATTGTGCCCCTACTTATTGCCTACCTACAAGATATTTGGATGGCTCCTTTTTAACATTGGAGTCATGGGTGGAGGCTGCTCTGCACCACTCCTTCATTTCTTTCTTGGTCTCTCAGCTGTAACTGCCTTTGCCTATTCCTATTCTTCTTTCCCATCCTCCTCCTTCAGCCCCTTTCTCTGTTCCTTTTTCCATGTTTTGTCACGTGGCCAGATTCATGCACGTATGGTGCAACTTTACATTGGATCCATGGGTGATTTGTATACTGTCAGAGGGTTTATCCTTTCAATTTCTCAAACCTCCTTCTTTGTCCACATACCTAGTATCCTTCCCTTCTCCTACATTATACTAACATGTTTTTGATGCAGTTCAGACACCCCTTCTCAAGAAAGCTATAGGATGTGTTAGTCTTCCCTCTACAGGGTTTTGCTCTAGGTTGTTTATTGTTCTCCAATAGAACGGAAGACTGGCATCCAGTAATTGACCTATCATGTCTCAACCAGTTCATCAACCTTCTCTATTTCACCGTGGAGTCATTCCTCACACTGTGATGAGCATTTACTCTAGGACTATGGAAGACGAAGATAGATGTCTCAGATGCTTACCTACACATTCCTGTTGTCTCATCATTCAGAGGATACCTTCATTTTGTAAACAGCTCTACCCTTAGCCATGAACTATTAAAATATGTCCAAAAATATACACTAGGAAAATTCATATTTAGATTGCTGAAGTACTTTAAAATAATGAGAAATCTAGTTTGTTATTCACTTACAACCCATTATACATGAAAAAACATTTTCAACTTTGTTCTACTCTTTCAATTGCGAGTACTTTTTTAGTTGGTTTAAATATCTAACCTATATGTGTAGAGTAATATTTACACAAGTAATGACTTAATTCTTGTTTTGAATATTGCTATAGCTATACGAAGAGCTTGATTAATTTTGATTTATTTTCAGTAAATTATTTGTATGTATGGGCGATTTTTAGAGTTTTGCAGTGGTATTGTAAGAAGAAGAATTTGTCTTGTGTTTTAAAGTAATTGAACCCACCTGTGTTGACCTTTGATGAAAAGGAAACAATTAGTTAAAGTTCTGAATTCAAATATGATAACCTACAGGGCAACGTAAATGAATCTATAGTTTATTGTACAGTAAGAAACAGAGTAGAGAAAAATAATTCATCTTGTCAGTTGAGTTCTAAAGTAAATGAACTAGCAGGTGTGATCTTTTGACAAGAAAAGAGAATTATTTAAAGTTTTAGATATAACTTTCATAACTAATAGTGAAACGAAGTTTTGTACATACATTTGACTTGTTTTGAATATATTATTGTAAAACAAGTGGATTGTGTGCTGTCTGTTTATTGTTCAAAATTATTGCCAACACCTACTGTAGCAGACACCTACTGTAAAAGAATTCCAGTCCATATTCAAAACCTGACATTAACAAATTTTTTGAGAGACATATTACATACCTAAGTCTTACCCTTGATGAAAGCCCAACAGATCCGGTGAAAATCTACAATTAAAAGTGAACTCTTAGTCCATAATGGACTTCCTATTTTAAGCTCTGATAATGCACTTTATATGTGTTACCTTAAGTTTTGAAGGTTATTTTAAGGAGACTGCACCCCTCTGTCTTTTTTCTTTTGAAAACATTCATAAATTGGTTAAAGATGAGCAAAATCTTTGCAAGATTTTTCAGTAGTATTCAAATCTCCAAGAAAATTGTGTAAGACAGGGGAAGTGGATTGGAAGTGAAGAGTTGTAGCAGTCCAGTCAAGAATTTTGGCAGAAATGGCAAAGCAGTTGTGACACATCTTGTTCAAAGCAGCCCATTTTACAGTAGAGATGTAGTTAAGATTTGTACTGTCTGAATTTGGTACACTTAATGCCTTACACTTAATAATAATTTTGAATTTTGCTTCTACAGAAAACTATATTCTACATCAAAAATAAGATATATCCTAAAATATAATTTAGTTATGAAATACTTCTCTAATTCAGACTTAAGCACTTATTCTAACCCTAGTGTGAACCAGAAGTTAAAGGGTGTGAATTAGAAAAGAGCAGGAAACTTAAACAGCAGAAATATCTTTATTTTTCGTATTGTAGCTGGATATTTTATTACTGTATATTTTGGTTATTATGGAAAACAAGCCAAAATACTGACAATTTTATTTACAGTCTTTGACTTGTAGAATTTTGTTGTGGTACGAGTTTTGCTCATATTTAACTATTTACACTAGCTATTGTAGTAACAATATACGAGTTATTCTATGAAATATCTTCATTTTTCAATACATAGGAAAGCTTAATATGAATTTGTTTGTTTTTATACTACCAAGTTAGCATGCCAACTTTGGTCTGAATAGGTCAGCTTGTTTAGGAGCAGGTGTGTCCACAAACAGATAGAAAGTTTTCCTTGATACCAGATACTTACCATACCATTATGGCTTAATATGTATAGTGCATATGTGAAGATTGCCTTTACCCTGATTTCCATACTTAGTTCTGTTAACTGTAACAAAATATAACTTTAATACAGTATTTTTTTTTCTTGCGATCATGTCTTTCTACAGGCCAGAGCCTGATAGAAACAGGAGAGGCATTACAACAGATGGCAGAAGTGCGCTATGCTCTTGAAGACAATGTCAAGCAAAACTTTCTGGAACCTCTTCATCAGTTGCAGACCAAGGATTTGAAGGATGTTTTGGTATGGGATTTATATCTTCTTATAGAATAGATGTTTCTAACACTCAGATTAAAATTTTTATTTTCTGATGAAAAACCTCCTAATAAAAAGGAACTATTAAATGTATGTTACAGCTTGAATTCAACCTTTGTCTTACTTTGAGAGACTTTAACTGACCTGACTTCTTCAGGAGCTATGATTGCCTTGTTTTTGCACTGACAAAAGTATGTACAAGTTTTAGGACAAATCATGCTGATAATATTATTTCAGAGTTTAAATTTGATTTTTGTGATAGGAGAACTTGTCTGAATTTGTAATTATGAAAATGGTAAGTTATACTACATTTGAACTGAAAATGCTTCCAGGATTTACATCATATTATTAAAAATGAGACTGAAAAAAATTGGCTTGGTAGAGTATGAGACTAGATAATTGCTTTTGCCAATCATAAGTTCTTGTACCTGAAACTACTTTTTATTAGTGTGACCAAAAATTATAACTGACTTCCAAAGCCAACCTCATCCTCTGTAAAAAAGTAAAATGGATGTATTTCCACTCATAATCCTCTAAACATTAAGTTATTTTCATTGTTGACTTTGGTTTATATAGCCTTTGTCACTGAAGGAAGTAAACAAACAACCACTGACAATCTTTAAGTTAATGAGAGTAATTCAGAAGTTTTGTATTATATAGTTTTTTAGCATATTTCAAAACAGGTTGTTAATAAATGATAAAAACCTCTATGAAGTAATATATTTATGCAATCTAAACACAGGGTCTCTAGATGTTCTAATAACTTAAGTTTTTTTTTTGTCTTTAAAGCTTCTAAAATGTTGAGAGCAATATAACTAAAATGTAGTGCGACTATTAAAGAAATTATCTTTTAAATTAATGTGCTTGTTGGTTTGGATAGTTCATGTGATTTAGGCTTCAGTGTAGTGTAGTGTGTTAGTGGGTTTATATTTTATTAATCAATTCATAATGGTTTAGATATTTTATTGGGTCATTAAACACACTATATATGATAAAAATAGTAGTTAGTATTATCAGTTTTACCTCCTAAAGAATTGGTTTCTCTAGTAATAGATTTCTCACATATAGGTGTTTGCTACTGATTACTGTTCTGTATGTTAGATTTTAATCAAAATTACTCAACTGAACTAACGTTATGTATTTATAGCATCACAGAAAGAAGCTTCAAGGAAGAAGGTTAGATTATGACTGCAAAAAAAGAAAACAGGCCAAAGGTATTACCAATGAACCATAGAATATATTTTTTAATACTGAATTTATTATTACTGATTGAATTTTCATGAAAGAATTAAACAAAGTAAGTATAAGTGATAGGACTGTTGAGTTTTAATTTGAGTTTGTTAGTTAGATTTAGATTAACATTTATCCATATTCAAAGTAGACCTAACTGCAACTTTTATAGCATTAAGTCTGAAATTGGGACTTAGAAACATAATATTTCAGTTGCATTAAAACTGTTTTTTTATTGTCAGGTAAAAGATGAACTTATGTTGTTAATTTTTCAGATGTTACATGTATATTTCAATGTATGGAAATATATTAAATTATAGTATTTGAACTTCACAAATTTCAAAAACTGTCTACACAAATGAGATATAGATATTTTCATATCTTTCTGTGACACTTGTTATCACTAAACTAGTTGGAAGGATGAAATTCTTTTAATTATGAGTGATAGATACCTTGTGAATATGTATATTTATAAGAGTGATAAATACTGTGTGTGTGTGTGTGTGTGTGTGTGTGTTATGCATCGAAAGGAAGCATGATAGATAATGTTTCTTACTGAAAGCTTATAAGGGACAAGCTAATTAAAAATCGTGTACTTAAGACACCATTTTGTCCTTAAAAATGCATTCATATTTTGGCAGTTTGTAAATTTAGTTCTGTCACGTAAGTTATTTACTCTGGCAGTAGATTGTCTTTGATTAAATAAGTTGTGTTATCTTTCTCAGGGACTCATGTCACAGAAGATGAAATTAAACTTGCAGAAGATAAGTTTGAAGAATCCTTTAACCTAGCCTCTATGGGAATGCATAATATGTTGGAAAATGACGTTAGTTTAAAATTTTATAATCAGTATATCTATTTCTTATACATTACCTAAACTCATAGCTTAAAACAGGCAGACTTGCCACTGAATTACTTGGATCCTTTCCTAGTTGAGTTGCTCTTGTGCTGTCAATAAATGTGACTATAGTTATGAATGTCATTAGCATAATGCTTTTAACTCTTGTATGATGGACTTGGAAATCAACATTAATTCAGATGCATATACTTTTAACAATATTGAAAATTCTACAACTTCTCTGGAGATCTTATTCATTCAGTCTGCTTCATGCATACAGGGTGATCCTGGGGATGCATATGCTTTTAGTTTGACCAATCATCAACTTTCTGTCCTGCGTGCTATGATTTGTCTTGCTTTTAGACTTTCTTTTTCTGTGCAATTATTAGCTATTACCTATTCTTTCTTCTGATTCTTTTGGTTAAGCTCAAATATCTACCTTGCAGTCTTCATTAACTGCATGTTTCCTACATCATATGTTCTTTTGGCTGAATGCAGCCCAGTGGTTATTATTTCAAACTGTGGATCATAGATCTAAGGTTCCATGATTCATGTCCTGTTACTTCCTGAAAATGTTGTACTCCATACTTTTGGGCCATGGTTGTGTTATAAGAGTGATGGCCAAATGCCACTTTTCAGTCTGACAAATGTTGGTGGATAGTGTTTTCCAGCTGTGTTCATTCTAGTCTATTACTTCGAAATAGAGACAGCTAGTGCAAATAGCCTTTGAATAGCTTTGCCCCAAAGTATGCTTGTGTTCCTTTGTCATTTTAGCCCATCATGTTGTTTTGCAAGGCACTTGTCTTACCCAACATTTCAGCTGACCTCAAAAGCATTTCTTTCCTGTACCATTTTGTCTTTGCAGATATTTCACACAAACTGATTTTTCATTCAGGAGAATCATGCCAGCAGGAATTGATTAGGGTTTTAGCAACTCATTTTGATTCTGGATGTCTTCCCACTTCAATACAACCAGCAAATAATGTTTATCCTCCTGTTTTACCTTCATTTTTCAGTCAAGGGCTGCTACATCTACTCGTATCTTTCAACTCTTTTGATTGTCCCAATATTAGGCAAGATGGGATCTTTTTTCTGTACTCTTTTGTTCTGAATAACTTTTCTGTCTAGGCTTTACTGAGGTTATATCAGATTGTTCATTTGTGGGACACTTGGCTTTGACAGATCCTTCATTCTAGTCTTTAATTTCACTTTTGTCATCCTCCTCCTGTTTCTTTCTTCTTTTTTACAACTTTTGGTTTGGGAAATCTCGAATCACCTTCTGAAAAGAACATTATAATTTATTTATCATGCTTCTCCAGGTGTATACTCCCATCTCTTTTTAGTCTAAATAACAATAGGAAATTATAGACCTGTCTGAGCTCAATCTTTACCTGAATATATCTCATTTCAAAATGAAAAAATGAAGATGTTACAAAAGCTTCTTCTTCAAGGCCATTGTATAAAAATGATGAATATACAAAATGCTTATCATCCTATCCTTATTCATCTGTTAATCACTGTTACCTGCTTATTCAGATACAGTCTCACCTCTCTCACACAAAGTTGTTTTGATGTTCATCTTCTCTTTAGCAATGCTAAAAACATTTTGTGATCAGTGCATCAGTGTATATACCCTATCAATTTTGCACCATTTCTGAACATCTACATATCATGTAACTACTCTCCATCAATAGTTTTGTGCCACCTATACTGACAAAGCTAGCTCCCTCTGCTATCTCTGCTCAATCCTCACTTTCTTATTGTCACAGCATTGTTTAGATTTGTGTTTTTTTCTCATGTGGCTACCATTTATGAACGTGCTTCTTTGCCATTTAAATTTTTTTCAACAGTTTTATTTTGGTGTACAAAACTTGAAGATAGCTTTTATATGCGGAAACATCTGTTAGCTGAGTTCTTGCACAGATCTTAAAATATAACGTTGATAAATGGAAACATCGGCACATGTAGATATGTAGATCTTTTAAGTCGAGTTGTTCAAAACTTGAAAATAGTGTTGATAACTGGACCGATTGTTGATTGAGATGTTGAATAGGGAATATCTGCTGAAGGACATGCCAATCAGTGATTGCCTTACCGGCCTACGTTGATCTGACTCATTTTATAAGCTGTACTATTTCCTATGGATTATTTTCCAGATGGTTCTGCTATAATTAGTGTCTGGCGAAAAGCTTCAGCAGATATTCCCTTTGCAACATCTCCACCAACAATTGGTCCAGTTATCAATGCTGTTTTCAAGTTTTGAACAACTCGACTTCAAAGATCTACATATCTACATGTGCCAATGTTTCCATTTATCAACATTATATTTTAAGATCTGTGCAAGAACTCAGCTAACAGATGTTTCCGCATATAAAAGCTATCTTCAAGTTTTGTTTTACTGTGTTTACATCAGTCTATTTCAACAATTTATTTTTTTTTTGCATTTATTTCTTGTTACCCAATTACAAGAGAT